TTTGAACAATGGGAAAAAATAAGAAAAATAACCTCAAAAATATTATATATTTTTCTTTTAATTAGAAAAAACTATTAATAATAGATTGAACTAAAGTACTGAAACAAACAATTACAATAAACCAATTGTTAAACTCAAGGACTATATCAAATTTATATCAGATAGTTAGATAAAATTAGTATCATTCCAACAGTCTTCATAAGAATTTGTAGAATATTAAAATGATGTAAGACAAGCATACTATTTTGTTTGAACTAAACAAAGTTCAATACTGAGCTTATGTTAATATGTACTTTATTTTTTAAGAGTTTTTTCCCTTTTTTTTAAATTGATGAATCACATAGTATTTTTAATCATGGTTATTTGTGCTTCAAACTTTCCGAACAAGTGAAGCTAGTTGGACCTCACTCAGGTTAAGCACTTTTCTGATATATATTAAAATAATCCAAATATATTTAGGCTAATTTGAGAGCTTGAAAAAATACTGTTTTAACAGCCACATTAATAATAATTCTAATAATTTCTTATTAGTATTTTTTTAAGAAAAAGTAATGTAGCAGAATTTTAAAATGATAGAACATACTGTACCATTCCACACTTCAGGTAGAGGATACCATTCTTATTGTTTTCCTACTTTAAAAAAATTACTAGAAAAGTAGGAGCATTTTTTAGCGTAATTTAATATTTGCAATGCTGATTTTCCACAAATAGGATATTTTGCAGCAAACATAATACTTTATTGCTCTACTACTTTATCCAGCGTGACCTTGTTAGAAAGGAGATACATTTATTAAAAACATACAGATCTGATAATTAATGGCTTTCAGACTTCCAAATTGCTATCCTTACTTTAATACAGAGCAATGGGAAAATCTGTCCAATGGGGCCCATAAATCATATACCTTTTTTTAGGTCAATTGTTCTTTTATTACATTCATATATTTGAATATTTGATATTTCAAAGTTGTAAAAAAACCTCACACTTTTACTTCAACTAACTTGAGACAGCCCTTTCAGCCTGTTGACTTTATTCAAACAAATGTATAAAGCAAGTCTGGACTCTATGTCAGGATTCTGTCTTGCACAAACTTTCCAGTTTTGAAAAACATTAGTAGTATGACTGACACAAACCTATGAAATATCAAGCTTGATGGCAATTTTGAGTGATCCATTCATTCTCTGTAATCTTTTCAATTTTTCTCACACATAAAACTTCTTAGTTCCTATTACAGATCATGCACTTTACTCTTAGTTACACAAATCATCTCTTCCCAGTTCATCATCTTTATATTTTTTGGCTCAATGATGCACAGTACTCACATTAACAGTCATCATCATAATCAACCTACATTTGGCAGTGAATTTCCATTAGAGGGACTCTTTCAGTAGTCTAAAATTTGGTCATAGTGCATGGCTTAATTAATACCCTCTTAAAATTTCAATTTTACCAACAATAATTACCTTGTAGGGGAAATGGGCAGCATAGAAATTTAATCAATCAATCAATCCTAAAGAATACAGCTGAGTTCCTAAAACATCAGAATTATCGTATGATGGTGACTTAGAATAATGGAGGCGTTCTTTTCATTTTACCCTCATATGAAGGGGTTTTCAGACTATTTAATTTTATATTGAATATATTTTTTTCACAAGCTTATTAAATCATTTAGAAAGGTCTGGTGGCTGAGGATTCTTATTATTACAATAATTATGTCTCTTCAGGTAGGACATTAAAATATACATTATTTTGCATTTGGATAGCAATTTTGTAAGCTAATCATCACTTTGAAATGATTGTCAAATCCTATTTACTTTTACAATTCAATTTTTATTTTTAGAAGAACAAGATTAGGAAATGTTGAATTATGGGATATAATATCACTGGTATCCAATTTCAATGTTTTAATATTATTTATCTATAAAATACAAAGAAAAATAGAAATAGAAAATTAAGGGAAGGAAAAGGAGAGGGAAAAAGAAGGTGTGAAGTACAAGGGAAAAAGGAAAAAAAGGCGCTGACTTCTGACTCTTTTTAGCACTCTTTTTGTTTTTACACATTGATATATAACTACCCATTTCTATAATAACAAATCTATCTAATCGAAAAAATCAAAGTCAAAGTTTCATTTTTTTTCATCACAAGCACAAAATCCAGAAGTAATATCCAAATGAAAAACATACTCAAATATATTCTCCTCTTTGAATAGGATGATCAATTTAACCATTCCTGTTTTATCTTCCTTGCTGTGGAAGTAGTATATATTTCTATTTGCAAACTGTTTGTTTATTTATCTATTTATCTTTGTAAATTGTCACCATTTTTATTAACAAAGTTAACTATATACTTTCAAATTCTTCGACCTTACTGGGATAAATATTCTTTTTTTCTTTTCCACCTTTTTTTAAAATAGCTAAACTTTCTTTAAATACTTTTCTAGAATCTAAACTTTCTGATACATCTTTTTCTTTAACTTCTTAACATACAGGCTTTGAACTTCAGTATTGAATTTAGTTCCCATCTTTCAAACTATCCTTGTACAGTAGTGGCCAAAATTGTGGAAACCTTTTGGGAAAAGTGTATAGTAGAAATGCCACCTTTGGTTAAGTTTCCACCTATTTTTCTTCTAATTTCTTTATAACTGTAGCCACTTAATAATACTATTTTACATCACTTTCTGGGCAACCAGTCAATTCTTTGCACCATTACTTTAATTTTATTACATTTTACAAGCTCACTATGTTGATAGCGATCACATAACACATTGACAAATGTCTTCCTCTCAGTTTTAATACATGAATCAATAACTGAATCCTACTGTGATCTGATTGGCTCATTGCCAAAACAAGATGACATCTGATTGACTCTCTAAACTCTCATGTTCATTGGCTACAATCAGATGAAGGAAAGCTACCTGATATCAACCTAAGCAAGTTGTGCTTCCTTTTTCTGGTTACTTGGCTATAGCTTTTCATAGAATACAGTACAGATAATTGAACAAACTATGTTGCATTACATTCTTGATTAAATTATCTTTCCACTGATATATAAATTTATGGTACTATTCCCAAAAAAGTAGTGTTATTAGCCATCAAACCTCAAAAATACACTTTTCCCAAAAGGTTTCCACAATTTTGGCCACTCACTACTGTAGAATAATCGTTTTTTTTCCTTTTATAAACATCCTTTTTAGAACACAAAGTTTTTTTTAAACTAGTACATCATTTTCTTTAACTTTCTTTTAACACAAATACTCTCAAATACATTAAATAATGTTTATAAAAGATGTATGTATGTGTGTGCGTATATATATATATATATGTAGGTCTTTGGATATTCGGGTTTTCTCCCGCGTAAAATTGGAAGTGTCTTGGCGATGTTTCGACGAAGTCACATTCGTCATCTTCAGGCTGGTGTCTTCAGCTTTGTGCTTCTGGGAGTAGTGTGCGATCGCAGCTGTTTCTTCCTTTTAACTGCCAGTGGGGTTTGAGCTGATTGGGTGGGAGCTTGGCTGTGTTCTGATTGGGTGGAGGTGTGTTCTGATTGGTTAAGGAGCTTGGCTGTGCTCTGATTGGATGGGGGGTTGGCTGTGCTCTGATTGGATGGGGGAGTGTTCTGTTTGGGTGGGGGCTTTATTGTGCTCAGGTTAGTCTGAGTTGCAGGGGGATTTGAGATGGTGAGCTTCATTGCTGTTGTTTGGCTTCGTGTTCGTGGTCGTGCCACATCTTTATGGTGGGTGTCAGTTTGCTTCATGTATGGATTGAAGGGGTTTAAAGTGGCTAATGATGCAGCTGTGGACTGGCTTCTAGCTTGTGGTCGTGCCTCATCATCTGTGTGGGTTTAGGTTTGCTTTTTGCGTGGATGTCTGGTGGTGACCTCCTGTGTGGTTTTCGTGAGTGTGGGTCTGGTGTCGTTCTTTGTGTTAGGGACTCGTTTGCCAATAAGGGCAGGTTTCCAAATGGCTGGTAGGCGGGAGGTATCATCTCGTTTATTCATGCTGTGTGGGCGTTTTTCTATCTCGATGGCTTCTCTGATTATTCTGTTATTCTAGTTATTTGAACTAGAGACATGTGGCTGGATAATAGTAAAGAGAGGGGAAGTGGTTAAGACTGATGGCTGTGTAACTGCTCGCGAGTCACATAGCAGATATACAGACCAGGTACAAATACTTTGGTATGCCAGAATCACATAAGAACCACAATATGGAGGCAAGGAAGACAACATCCAAGTACCAGTAAAAAATAAGACAGGTCATAAAGAGCTAGCTCAATAGGAAAAACAAGATCCATAACATCAATATGTATTCTCTGCCAATCACCTGATACCTGGATGTATAGTGAGCTGGCCCAAGGAAGATATAAAAGCGGATGATGTGAGGACCTGGAAGTGCCTTACTATGCATAAAGCCCAACACCCGTAGATTATAAGCTTCAAAAAGTGATATTAAAAACAGGCACATCTAAAAATACAAACAGCTTCTGGAAAAGATAGAGACCCAATTCTCCAGATACTATTACTGAGAGTTGCAATGATCATAGATTTCTCTTTCCAGGCAACTACATCATCATCCAAGGGTTGTTGTGGGCCATTCCTAATTACTCCTTTTCAATCTGGGGAGCGCACTGCCAAAGAGCTGGCTTTGGCAGCAAAATCAGTTGTTTGTCAGCAGGGAGAAAAAAAGCTCCACCATTCAGTGTGCCATTTTCTGGGGAAGTCCTACTATTTTGGGGGATATCCTAAAGATTATACTTTTAATAAGACCCATCTGTCTTGTACACAGTCTGATATAAATGTAATTTCTAAATCATCTTCAAAGGTGGATGATATCATATAAAAAAGGTTGCTCTAGATAATATTGGATTTTCTGTATCAGCAGTTCTAAGAACCAGTTTCAGCTGTGTTTCAATAGATGGCACAGAATTTAGTAAAGCAATATAAACAACTATGCTTCATTCTAAAGTAATATAGATTTTTCCTTTTTTTTAAATTTCCCTTTCTGTAGGGATGTGAGCTCATACAGACACCAGATCAAGACTTAACAGATTTCACCAAGTGCCTTCAGATACTTCAACAGAAGATAGAAAAAAGCAGCTTGCAGGTAATACTAGCAACTCTTGTCTATACACATTTTGGCGTGTAAATCTTCCTGAGTGTGTTCATTCTGTAACATAATGGCAAATAAAAATATGATACAGAGAAAGCAGAAACAAAAAAAATCATTAGCTGCCAAGAAGATATCTCTTCTTGTTTCTGCTGGTGAAACTCTAAGGCTTCTGAAGAGTGATCAGAATTGAATCCACATACTTTTAAAACTACTAAAACTCTCATGACATTTACTTGGGTGAAATGGTGCATCATATGACTCATGAGGGAATGAAATCTGGGAAAGTTGTAGCTACCACAGTACTACTGACTGCTGCTGTGCTGCAATCATGTGGTCATGTTCAATGTTTGGTGACAGTTTCCCACCCAATCCTGCATTCCATTGCTCTCTCCCCTACCCAGCAGCAAGAAATTGACTCAGTGTGGTTCTTAAAGAAGCAACAACTTTAAGATGCCTGAAGAAAGACCTGGATATTTGTATTGCTTATGTGCCCCTTCTGTGGTACACAATATGCAAATGTATCTATATGCCATCTTTGTTCAGGAACTCAAGACATAACAGTGGAACAGTGTTCATTCTCCTATATTTTTGTATGTTTATGTTTATTTAGATTTGTATACCGCCCTATCTCCCTTACGGGACTCAGGGCGGTGAACAGGCGATAATAAAAATCACAATAAATATCTATTCTAAAATCAAATTAAATAAATAAAGGCCTGCTCTAAAATACCCCATATAAAAACCTATACTAAAACCTAATTAAGACTACGCCAGGCCGGCCGCATGAAAT